TCCCGAGACCCCTCACCTGTAGGGGGAGGTGGGGGCAAGAACTTCGGCCTGCCTCCCTCTGCGCTGCTTTCCCAGGGCCCCATCTCAGTGTCCACTTTACCAAACCCTCACTCTCGCTCCCACACGGCCCTGGCTGGAGGCGACATCTCCCTCTACACGTTGTCACGCGACCCCAAACTGGGGGGTTTACCGCCCATGTATGGAACGGTGGACAGGGCCACGCTCTACCAACTCCACAACTGCTTCCCAAAGGATGGAGGCGGAGGTGGAGGGGTGATGATGAGTGGTACACTTCCCTCGCTTAAGTCCCATAACCCTTCCAATTCTTCCAACTCCAACGCACCGATGCCCAACTCAGTGGGCTCCGGCCCTCCACCTTTCACCTCATCCACTGTAGATAGGGAGCGAGGGATGGGGACTCTGGACAGGCTGAAGGGAGACAGGGAGAGCAACTCTAACACCCTCAATAGGAAGACAACGCCTGTGTAGAGAGAGGGTGTGACAGGGGGAGGCGAGAAGGAAGGGAGAGAAGGAGGATGAGTAGTAAGAGGGAAGATAGAAAGGGGCTCTGTGTTTGTGTGGCTCAGAAGAAATACATAGAAAGACAGACAGATAGGTGAAATGCTAAATCTCTCCCTTCATGTTCACTGTTATTTAGTCTACTCAATCTCACTGAGAACAAAAAGAAGATGAGTAATAACAGAGTGATAATAACAACAACAATGAACTTTCACAATAAAACTATTTTGATATTTTAATGTGCTAGAAATGATTTATTTTGTTAATGATCAAAAACGCAATTAACCTTGGGCTATTATGAAAATGTTTCACATATTTTTTTGTGCAATATTACTGCTAATTTAACCAGATCATCATTAATGTAAAATTGTTGTTGTGATTATTCTTAGCGTTATTACAGGCTAGCCGTATTTGCAAACACTATAGTTTGGAATGAAAATTTAATTTTCATGTTATTTTCACTCTAATTTTAGATCTCGACGACTTTTACTGTGAATTTCTTCCATGCAGAGCCACTGGGACTGTCAGTGAGCTGTGTGTAACCGTGTCAAAGTGTCAAGCATGAGTGTGCACAATATGTGGGAGAATGTGGGCCTGTATTTTTTTTTTTTAACCCCCATATTATATAATTTTTATTTATAACATGAAGTCAGATTTGAATACTGTAAATTGTCTTCCAATATTGATACTGAAAGAAATGCAACAATAATGTGAGTGACTGATACAACTGTCCAACTTCATTATCGTTATTATGAGTCTGAGTTTTCTATGGGCCTCTGTTAGTCTTATTTCCATTCTAATCAGTGTTAACAGTAGTACTTGTAGCTATAGTCGTGTTGAAGATGTTTGTTCTTGGGCATTAACAGAAACCTCTGACTGGAGGAAGCAGAAAAAAGAGACATAGAATAATACATTTGTACAGATTCAGGTAAAGGTTACTGCCTGAGCAGAAAAACAAAATACCTAATCATTTTTTTCTATGAAGAGTCCCAAAGTGAGACATGCAACTCATCATTTTCAGTGGCAAAAAAAATACAATATGTATATGTGGGTTGAGAGGGTTTAAAAAACACTATAGAGAAAAACTTTTGAAAAGATACATGTACATTGTAATTAAGCATACATATATTTGTAAAGTCTATAGATATGTTTTTTCGGGACCACTGTTCAAACTGGGTATGCATTTTGGGCAAGTTTGGCTGAAGTGTTTTGTTCCCGGTGCCCTCCCTGGACTCTTGTTGGGTGGTTTTCATCCGCCAACCCTGCGCCGCCATACTTGCCCCCCGCCCCCCTTGCCCATATTTGGTCACATGATCAGTGTTCCCCTAATTTATCACACCGATAACAGATTCACCACAGAGACGACATCTTAACCTCCCCAAAGATTCTTTTCACTGTGCTTCCCCTGTGACCACTGACTCCGGAGTCTGAACTCTGACCTGATCTGTTTATGTTGATGAGAATGTAAACACATGTAAACATCCTCCTCTCCCCCTCCCCTTCCCACTCTCTCTTCTAAACTGTCCCGAGTGACTGCAGATCCAGGTTGAAACCATGGACACCCCGCTACATGATATAATGAAGAAACAAAACAAAACAACCAGACGCTTCCAGATTCTCTACGTTTTCATTTCTTTGATTTCATTTCAGAAAAAGAATAATGTGATAAAACTGCACACAGATAGCATTTATGTGGGCAATATGAATAGTATGTAGTTGAGAATAGATATATCTAGACAAATGATTATGGTTTATCTAAATGTGTGATAAACTTAAACACTGTATTGCACGAAGTTTATAAAAAAAACAATAACAGACATATTCACAGACTGCTGTCTTTTGTTTCTTTTTTGCTAAGAAATAAGAGTGGAGTCTCTTCTGAAGTGCAGAGTGAACATATACCTGTATCCCTTAAAAGTATCTGTAGATAGGTTGTAACAATGTTGGAAGAAGTATTCACATCCTTTACTTAAAGGGGTTATAATATATATAAAATGACAATGCATCTAATGACAGACAACATTGGGTTGCTCGTAGTGAACATACAGATAATTATATGACTCTATAGCTTCCTTCAACTTTACAGAGCTTTAAAGTGAGTTTCAGCTCATTGGCAGTAACTTTACTGTTTTTGGTTAGCGACTAGCTAGTGAACATAGTGGAGCATTTAGCAGCTAAAGAGCAACATATTTCCCAAAGGAGTTGGCAGAGACTAAAAAGTTAAAAGAGAGTTAAAAGAGGAGTGGTGGCCAGAAACACGACTCCAAATGCTAATCTTGCTCCGTCACTGCTGGATGACAAGCAACTCATTCCTAACTAATTGAAAGGTCGAAAGGTGACGATGTGTCAACGTTATAGTCACTGCTTGCTTCCTCTAGCCCCAAGTGCCCCCCCACCCCAAAAAAAAAAGTAAAAGTAGCAATAGCACATTAAAAATAGTCTAGCACCTAAAATGTAACTTTATCAAGCATGTAGGAGAAACAACGGTGGCAATGAAACAAGCTAAAAACCCAGCAGGCCAGCGTTTCGTTTGTCCGTTCTGGGTCACTATACAAACATGGTGGTTCAATATAATGGCCTTTGTGAAAGTAGATCAAATCTGCCAATACACATCCTCCTAAATGTTACACACTGGACCTTTAAAGTCTGTCCTCTGTTCAAAAATGTGTTTTCTTTATTTTTACTTCACTCAGATGTTTGAGATTCACTGTGCAGAATGAGGATTGTGCAGATTTTAGAGGGATGTTTTCACATTCTTTTGCTGAAGGAGGAAATTTTGATATGTTCATCTTAACTCTGTGTTGAAGGCATGTTACATTATAAAGTCATTGATCATATCTCTTACATGTAAAATCTTAAAAAGTAGCTATAGCTGTCGGATAAATGCAAAGTAAAAAGCAATATTTCCCTCTGAAATGTAGGAGAGTTTAAGTACAAAGTAAAGTAACTTAGTTGTTACTTTGCACCACTGGACTATATCACACACACTGTTTGTCATTAGTGAGCAAACATTTCTCTTAGTAGTTACTCAAGCTCAACGTCTTGGCGTGCTGTGATCCTAAAAAGACTCCGACCTTCCCTGTCAGACCCGAGGCTCATAATATTTGCAAATATATGGGTAGTGCCAGATGGGCGGTATTTGGCAAATAGGATAAGGATGAGAAAAGCAACTGAAAGTTAATTCAGTATACTTTTCTGTGACCGCTGCCCTACCTGAGCTCATCTTTTTTTCAATGATGGGCCCATCTGGTACCTCATGCATGTTTTTGCATGAACAATTACAAAATACTGTCATGGTCTGCTCCGGTCCCCTCAGGCCGGCTGGGCAGGAGATAAGAGATGATACTTCAGATGCATTAGGGCAGAGGGAAGATAGATAGATAGATAGAT